TAGTCACTATTGAGGTTATCAATCGTGATGACAGAGAAAATGTAAATTGGGAATCTGAGAGGTAGTGATGTCATTTACAATTAGAATATAATACTCTAAAATCTCTTGAGACCTGCTAGTAATTTTGACATTTCGTGGGACTTTGAACGAATAAAATCTCCTTGGGACCTGTGTGTAATTTTCTCTTTTCTTCCCCCCCCCATACAATCTGAAACACAAGTCTAAACCACATATCTGGAATGAACACGAGAATCAGACGATCTGGACCGGATGAATGTTTTGAATTAAAACTCATATTTCTGGTTTAGAGAATCTAATATATCTTTTGTAGGGTGATAAGTCGAAACATACTAAAATTGGAGCCTGGTGTTGCTCAAATAAAATTCCACATGGTATTGGTCAGACATCAAGTAGCCTTGGGAGATTCCCCCCCCCCTCCTTCGCCGCTTTCATGACTAGCTTCTCTGCTTCGTGAGATTTTTTTTTTGTTTTTTTAAAAATAATTATCAGAAAACAATTCAAAAATGTTTTGAACAGAATTGTCTATTAAAAAAATATTTAAAGGAAGGCTTGTTTCCATTGTTTGTGGGGATTCAGTTATAATTGGAGGTTTGTTCTTATAATTAGAGATTCACAGATCCCAATATTCCATCATCGTCACTTGGACGGGTCAATCCCAACATTTGGACCCCCCGCGAAGCGAGGCAAACTTAACAGGAGTTTATGGATGCTGCGTGACAGATAGATGGCATCATATTCTCATCTGCTTACTTTCACACATAATGCATTTATGCGAACAGAAATGAATAGCAGATGGCAGGGGACGGCAAGTTTAGGGAGCATGTATAAGAAGACCGGACCCTCTGAAATAATTGAACCAGCTCCAGCATGTTTAAAATTGCTTTTCTCAGTCGTGGTCTCTTAATGATCCAAATTCTAAACAACTGCCATCTTCCCATTTCATGGCTCATCCTCACGCAAGAGCAAAGCCGCAATAAGAGGTATAAATACATACTGGAGTAAATATTGTGTCCTCCTCTGTTTTGGGCCGACGGAAGTAAATAATTGGACGCTTCAGGAATGAATTTTGCTCAAGTCACCCCAAAATAATGAATTCCTTTCGAAATTGATGTCTTTGTAAATTGAAATACTACCTCCGGTCCTAATTATAAGAGCTAGTTGACTAATTTAAAAAGATTAAGGAAAGAAGTTAAGTTAGTTATTTGTAATAAATAGGTGTTGTCTTTTCTAAAATATCCTTGCTAATCAAGTGTATTGGCTAGAATTACCATTATTAGAAGGATTACATTGAGAAAAAAATACATAAATATGAGAGACAAGCTGGATTAGGGTCTTTATTTAAAAGCAAAATAAAAGTCAAATAAGATCATATATTAAGGATCGGAGGTGGTATCATCATTCAATAAACTGTGATGGGCGCTGCCATTATATGTGCAGTCAATTCTGTGCCTGCCCTTCATTCTAATCCTCTCCGACCAACGCACGTTTTGCTGATTTCTTGCTTAGCATCATACATCAGTCCATTGAGCCGCTAAAATTAAAGCCCAAAGCCGGCATATTATTTTATTTCGTGGAGAGAAAAAATCATTTCATTCATACAGTTTTGGTTTGCCTTTAAATGGGTCACTAAATTTTAATTAGCTCAGTTTTGACTATACAGACTCATAGTGGGCTTCGTTTAAACCCCATCCCTATATTTTAAACAATCTAAAATGACCATCTGCATTTTAATAAATGAATTATAAGGACAAATTATTTCTTCAAACGTAGTAACTTGTGTTTTGAATGGATAAAACAACAGGGATAGAGTTACGGTGAATTAACGCACTTGCATCGGGTTGTGTCTAGTTGAAATTTAGAGACCCGATTACAGTTGAGTGATTTTTTTTTTGTGGGGGGGGGGAATGGCGGGGTGGGCTAACCCGAAGGTTAGCCCATAGCCCGCCCATTTATTTATAAATGGGCATGGGCTAACCCGTAACCCGGTAGTAGCCCATTTAACCCGTATTAAATAGGTTACGGGGCAGCCCGTTTGGGCTAACCGGGTTACGGGGTAACCCATTTATTTTTTTAAATTTTTTTTTCAGTATAGTTATTTTTTATATGTAACCTTATGAAGCTGTCAATAAATTTTGCATGCCAAATAGCAAATCAAATATGAAATAACATCAATCATATTCAATCACACAACCTCACTTAGATTTGCAAACAATCAAAGTCTAATAAAATCATAAAAGTAGTCACCAATCATAAAGTTTCATAAACTTTAAAAGTTCCAACTTTCACCTAAAGGATAAAATAAAAGCTTAGACAAGCATGAAGGTTTGATAAAAGATGAATGAGAAAAAATATCATCAATTAAATGAAGAATAAAAATATTTTAAAAAAATTAAAACTTAAACGGGCGGGTATGGGCAGCCCAATACCTTGGCCATAGCCCAACCCGTTTAATGGGCTACCCTGCCCATTTAAACCCGCCCGTTTATAATCTCTTATTTGGGCTAATTGGGCGGGTTTAAATGGGCAAAAATTTCATGGGTTATGGGCGGACTAGCGGGTAATGGGTTTGTTGCTCACCCCTAGGGGGAATTACTCGATCAAGCAATGAGGGTTACTTGGTCGGGATGAAAATGGATATTACACGGGCCGGTTCGGTAGTGCGTAAAGCTGAAATTACTAAAAGGAAAAACAAGTATGGGTCGCTCGAGGGTCATGGAAAATTAAAAGAGCCCATAACTCACAGTCCCAAGGCCCAACATCCACACACAGTACACATTGTTTTTGGATATAGAGAACTTGTCACGTGATGGTGATATGGGACATCTGCCGAAGCAAACGTTGGTGTTGCTTGTTACTGGGCTTGTGCATAGTGCGCTCTGACTTCTTAAATTCAGCAAATCAGTTTGTCACTGAAGGATTGTGATGCTATTCGAGACGAGAGTCGGCATTTGGAACCACAAGTAATTTTAGATCACCATCTCCCCCTTCTCTTTGGCCCAAATACAGACTACTTCTTTCAATGTCTGAATTTTACGTTTTCTAATATATGGGGGAAAAAAGACAGTCTCATGAGCTTGATTAAGAAACACGTAGCTAACAACATGACATGACTGTATATCTGTGTGAAATATATAAGAAGTCATATTACGCGCAGCTCATTTTTTAGTTTATTGCTAAAATTAGTCTAATTAAAATATAATTTTTGATTCCACAGCTAGACACACGTCAAACGACGCACCATCCAAATTATATTACATATTCGTCGGTCACGAATAAATATATCAGGCTTAAAATTGTTGTCGATTAAGGGTGTGTTTGGATGAAACCAAACCGTGGTTTAAAAAAGTGATTCTGGAGAATAGATTTTGGGGAGAATAGATTTTGTAAAAAAGTGATTTTGAGAAGTGAGAGTGTTTGGATAGTTGTTATCAGAAGCATTTTTTATATATACAAATTACTAAAAAAAAGACATAAGTTAATATGATAATTACAGATAAAATAGATTTTATGATATATTTTAATTTGAAGGAATAAAATTGTTAATAATATATTTTTTACCAACATAATTAATAATACATAAGATAATATAATTAATGTGTATATGTATTTATAAAATATAAGATTAAATATGTTTATCAAAAAATATGTTTATAAAAAAAATAACAAGATACATATCATATAGGCTCTCCCACTGTCCCTTTTTTCTCCAAAAGCAAAAAAATTTTGCTTTTTCCAAAATCATGGTTTTGGAGTCAAAACCATGATTTTGACCCAAAACCATGGTTTTGGTTTTTAGAGGGGGTGTTTGGGTGATTGACACCCCAAACCATGGTTTGGGGTGTCACCCAAACACACCCTAAAGAAGGACAAAGAAGTCAATGTCATCAGTCGTGAATATACTAACATCTATTCTTCTAATCCTACTTATAAGTTTCTTCTAATATGCTTCACATAAAAAACCTAAAAGTTTATTAGTTTAACAACTTTTTAATTTTATTCTTATTTGATATACATTACACCTCATGTAAATAAAATTAATACAATAATAAATAAATGATAAAATTATACATCTATAAAAAAAGTATGACAAAAAAATGTGAGAAGCAACATATGGTGCTTGTTTGACCTCACTTAGATAAATAATCATAAGTACATTCACGTGAGTTGAGACAAAACTCATCCTTCTTATTTATTTTATATTTTGTAAATCACGACTAGAAAAATATCCATAATAACTCTATAAAAAGCATAGAGAATCATTATCTCTGGTTTTTTTTGGCCAGCGTAGAGAATCACTGCTTGTAGACTGCAAACGTGATAGTTGATAATTCTCGTTAAGAGAGTTACCTACGTTTAATATTCAAAAGTGTTTTGAGCGGAATTGTATACTTATGCCTAAAAAAAGTGACAGTTGATTCTGAGATTTATGGAAACGATGGCGGGATTAATCGATGGTAAAGGAAAATGCAAGAAAAAACAATAATTTTACCGATAAGAAATGAATGGAGTGGGGGACCTGGAAAGGGGTAAAAATGGGGAAGATTAGTGGCGGAGAGCGCGGGAATGATGAAAATGGGAGTCGGGTAACGGGCAGCTGGCGCCAATAAGGTATCGGCTTCCATTGGGCTGGCTGCCAACACACGGCGCCCATGTGAGCACCGACACAGCCAGCTGCACCCCATCAGGCCATCATCCCCACACCGCCTCTCTCCAGCCCCTCTTTTTGTTTTTGGCTGACACCCCGCCTCTCTTCTTTAATCCTCTACCCTCTACCCGGCCTGTCCCCACTCCTCCCCTCCCAATCTATTTCCCTCTTTCCTTCCCAATTTCATCCACTCGTGACGTGGCTCCTTCTCAACACCCCGCCTCAGCATCTCCTCTGTGGGCTGCATCACACCCTATCTCATTCCTCTTACGCGCTTCCCTCCCGGTTCATCCATCCGCCCACGCAACACTCTTTTACTCGTCCTTTTATTATTGAGACCTCTCCCTTCTTCACTCCTCCGTCCTCCCTCTCTCCCTCTGCTGCGATCTCTGAAGCTTAAACGCTAAGATGGCCTCCAGAGTAGCTCTGCTCTTCCTCTTGTGTGTTCTTCCTTCCATGGTTGCCGCCATCCGCTCTCACAAGAACCCATTCTGCGTCCAGGGTCGTGTCTACTGCGACGCTTGCCGTGCTGGTTTTGAGACCTCTGCTACCACCTACATTTCCGGTGCTCCCTCCCTCCCTCTCTTCCTTTTCTATTATTTCCTCTCATTTTTTCCTTTATTTTCACTCTTCCTCTTTAACGAAAAAAATCTGTTCCCTGTGACGCTATATCTTAGATCTGTATTGTTGGCTTATAGTTCTTACTTCCTGTTTTCATCCTGTCGATATGTATTAGAAATTTAGGCTATCACTAGTTTTCCACAGCCGTGCTTGCTCCCCAATCATCATCCATTTTTTATAAAATTATCATTTATACTTTTGATGGTTGCAGCTTGTACCATATTTGATGATCTATTTTCGATCCGATTCTTTTTATTCATTCCGAGTTAATTCCTTGTACTAGTTAACATATGTAATTTGTGGCAATAAACTACTTTGATTTGGACTTGAGCACTAGCTATAACTGGACGTAATGTCTAAAATGCCCTCCTTCAGTCGAGCCTTGCGGTCCTGTTCTCATTCTGACTGAACAATTATGGGCTATTCCGGTTAAGCTGATATAACTACATTCGTTTAGTCTTCTGATCTCGTTGAATCTATAGCTATGTTTACCGATGCTCGTGATCCGCATTTTAACATTTGGCCGATCGTTGATCATAGGTGCTGAGGTTGTTGTGGAATGCAAGGACAGGAATACAGCGGAAGTTATGTTCTCTAAGAAGGGCGTGACTGACTCCACGGGAACTTACAAAATCTTGGTGAATGAGGATCATCAAGACCATATTTGCAGTGCCAAGCTTGTTAGCAGTCCTCAGGGTAACTGCCAGGAAGCCGCCCCTGGACGCGATGAAGCCCTTGTTGTTCTTACCCGTAACAATGGGATCGCATCTGACGACAGATTTGCCAATTCTTTGGGCTACATGAAGACCGAAGCTGATTCTGCTTGTACTGAGATTCTCAGGCAATACCAGATGTTCGATGAAGAAAATTAAGTCAGTCTGCAGTGTCTTTCAAATTTATTTATTTTGGATCGGCTTTCCTAATTTCTACTTGATTCAATCTTGATGGAATGTTATCTTGACATTCTTAGTTTATGCTTGCAAGTTACTGGCCTCTAGTAAATTACATTACACAAAGTATTACGTACGCGGACTGCGTGTTGTGATAAACTATTCTTTGATATCTGGATTTAGCAAATATATGCTATGATGTGTGGATTTGTTTATTTTAAAAGGACCGGTTTTCAATCGGTTGCTGCGTTCTCTCTCGAGATCGAAGATGGATGTCTTGTTGATGCTTTATTAACAATTTGACGCAATCATAAATCATGTCTTGGCAATTGCAAGGTAGACGTAAACGTCTTATTCCATTTGACGCGACAATCCAGTTTTACGACAATCGAGGCCAATCGGCTGTAATGTCAGATTTCACAAACCTCTTGGCGATAAAGGCAGCGTGCGTGCGGTTATGAAACACGCAAGCAGTTGTGTGCTTCTCACATTTCATGCTCAAGCTAGAAAGAAGTTCAACTTGGCGTGAATTTTGCAGCCCTTAGTTGTTCAACTGTCCCATAAACCGACCCGGCTTTGATCCCTGGCGACCGCATTTGAACAATTTTTGTCCTTCGATTAGTTATGGAGAGAAAAAAAAAAATCCCTCAATGAGTATTGCTATTTGTTACTGACCTTGAAAAACTTCACGCCTGAAAAACACAACTCATCTAGGCGTCTATTCCACAATTTTATTTAATTTATTTTTCCCATTAAAATAGAAGAAAAATTAAAATCATCAATATTTTTTAGGGAATGTCTCCTCTTCTCTTCTCATTCTCTTCTATTTTCTTCTTCTTTTAATTGTTAGATTAATATTTTAACGGTTTAGATTTAAATATTTTTAAAACTATTATTAAAATATTAAATTATTAAAAATAAATAGTAAACTATAAACTACATTAAAATTTAATTTTAATGATTTGTAAGTACACTAAATGTTTTTAAAAATTTTTTATAAATAGTTTGTAAAAAATAAAATAAAATCTAAAGGAGGAGGAAAGAGGATGGAAAAAAAAAAAAAGAGAGAACTCCTGAACCGCTAGTTTAAATGGCTACTAAGTGTGTCACCTATATCTCTGTACAAAATCTCCCTAATTCAATTTTGTATTTTGCCGAGGGTAAGGGGCATAGAAGTGTATACCGATTGTTCACCTAGTGAAGTGCATGACAACTGAATGCATAATTCGAACCGTTTAAAGATTAGCTTCTTCAATCCACAAGGTAAAATCGTCTGTCACTACAAAGCCAACAAGATAAATTTGACAGTAGGTATTTACACTCTTTAGGTTTGAAATTGGAACGTTAGAGAATCATACTACAGCATTAGGGTTGACTCAGCAGCAAGCAAACCTTCAAAAAGGGCTCAGGTAATGTAATTTGTCATGCCAAGACACCCGCCTTATGGGCAGGGGTATTGTTCGTGGCCTTCTTCTCAGAAGCATAAGCGTCGGAGCCTAACCTGATGGAATCAAGAGAAGGGGCAGCCTGTGGGACTGAGGATGGAGAGTCCTTCCTTGTCCAACAAGAGGGTATCTTCTTATCATCCTCTTTCATTCTCTCAGCATATTTATTTATGTCAAAACCTGTAACATCATTCCCACCAAATGCAGACTCGAGACGGTCCATGTCAAACAGATCCTCCATAATCTTGTTAGTGTTTTGGTTATCAGAGTAAACGAACTTGACTTTACTATAAGTTTTAGGCTCCAACAGGGGCTTTACCATCTGTAGCAAGCAATCCATGCCTTGACATCACAAAATGCTAAAGATCCAAGCTTTTAAATGTCAAAAACTAAAATATTTATTATTATTATTATTTTTAAAAAAAAGGCCTTTTGTAGCAATATTAAACTTCAAATCAGCCATGAACTAGCATATATCATCTACCACAGCTAATAAAAAATGCATCAATTAGGAGACAGGTCAATAAAATCCCCCCCGTACTTTACAGATCTAAAAACAAGAAAAGCAGATTGCTGTATAGAAGCAAAGATGATTTGCATACGCAGATATACAGAAGGGCTGAAACATCATTATCAGGAAATTTGCACATCTTAAAGTGGCTCTAAATGCAAGCAAGAAATACATTTATTCCTTGTGAATGAAGTGCACTTTTGACCTCATTCAGACAGAGTCAGGATCTGAGATCACATATTCTTATTATCAACAAGTAGCTGGGTTGTATTTAAAACTTCAACACGTGGACAGATAAATTATACACATTGAGCCTGGATAAAAGGCGCACGCAATATATAAACATGAAACAGAAGATATTGAAAGCGAGAGCATAGCTATATAGCTTACCATGAAAAATGGTTCAAAAACTTGGGTGGGTTGAACAGTATTGCCAGACCCAGCCGTTCTGGATAATGGTCTTGTAATACATGGGCAGTTTCATGAGTCAGCTTGACTGATATGTTTGACAGATTGAAACCTTCAAAATCAATTAGCCAGACCATCTGTTCCTGGTCTGGTGGAAGATTTAAAATAGCATTTTCCATGCAATATACCAGATATTTAATCTGCTCCTTAGTTGACTTCGAATTCTGCAAGGGAAAACAGATATTAATAAACTCCAATGTGGACAAAATATTCTTCTCAAAGCAATACTAAATTGAATTTTAACTAGTTAAGAGGGCATTTATCATTAGCTAGACTTTATTAAAATTCAAAGATCATACATGTGCAACCGTTCTGTTCACTTAGGCTGTTCTTTGAGAGAGTGAAAAATAATAGGAATCAAATTTGAAAATGCAGTTAAACAGAAAGCACGTGGAGAAAGAACCCTCATTTTCCTTCCTTCTCCAAAATATCCAACGTTTATATAACTAGGCAAAGCATGCTAGAGGTTAAAGTAATTTTCAGAATAAACCTGGCGGCTAGGTCTCATTACAAGAACGGTCCTCCCTTGCTTGTCAATGTAGTTGGATCTATAGATCTTTCCTGTTTCCGCTTCATGAGCAACCTCTTCCTACATTATCAATAGAGACATATTAAACACCTTTTATCAAACGAAGATCAGTACGTGAGAGTTCAACCAAGTCTAGAGCTCTTGCAGATCACAAAGAATCCAACTGAATAACCAATCAACTGAATTCATTTGGTCAATCTTTAGGAATAAATGTTATAGTTAATTGATGCTAGTTCAGGTCGAATCTTGATCAGATCAAGTTTAATAAGCCTACAGATGGCAAGAAATTTGACAGCGCACTTTGCAGTCTAGCTGAACCCAACTGGACAAAGCTCTAGAAAAAGAAGCAAGAATAGAGGTAATAGAGGAAGACCATATGCATACGTTAAAGGCCTTAACCAAGATCTAGAGAATATCTTGGAGCAGACCTAGCAATAGCATCCAGATAACATCCCAGTCCCAGCCATGCATTTTGTTCCTGATGCTATTGGAAAAAATTGAAGAGAAACAGTTTCTCACCCATCGGATCTCTTCTGGTTTAGCAGCAGCTCTCCATTTTAAGGTCTGTTGCAACATCTTTACTGCCTTCTTGACGTTCCAATTTCTTGCTCTTAAATGCCTTGAGATGGATGCATCAGAACAATAAATAGATGACTTGCCCGACACTGGTCCTATCAGCCGTCTCACCTCATTAATCTGGAAAGAAGCAAAATATCATGGCCTAAGGTGCTTCTAGAATTGGAAGTCAGAATATTGCAGTCTAACATTTTAATTCTCGCATTCTAGAACAAAGTAAAAGCATATGTATATTTATAGATCTACCGAAAGCGCAATCTAATACCTTTGCTTGTTGTTCCTGCGATGTTAAAATTTTCTCACGGCCATTGGAGGCAGTTTTATTTAGATCCACACTCATGATGGTTGCGAAGAACTATTGTTCAACAATAAATACCACAAAAGTCAGTATCAATATATTGCAGCCTCAGTAATTACAGAATAACATAAGTGTTAAATGGTGCTTCATTTTGATTAAATAGCTAAATATGCAGACTGGCTGCAACTCTTGCACAAATAGCATTTACAAGTCAATAAAATATCTAGTTTTTACATCAACGGAACTTCAACCTCTTGTGCAGTTATTCTTGCTGAATGCATTTTGCATTGAGGATTTTTAAGCAACCAACATTTTCATTGACCAAGAGTGATGGCTAGTGAAAGCAATAAAATCATCTAGATAGCTCGGTAAGGCTTTCATACACAAGATTTCAGATTCTGGCCCTAGATGGGATTTTTCTGACGGCATATAGTCCTGATAAAGTGCAACAAGCTTCATATGTATCAAACTAGCAATTGACACATTGTTAGAAATTTTTTAAAGGTTTGGATCTAAACTTTTGGCATCGACAATCACCCTTTCACTACCAACCATTTTTTTTCTAACACTGAGAAAGAAAACAAACTGGTACTACGCTACATTAGGAACAATCTGGTGAACCTTCATGCTAATCCTTTTCAATTGCTTCCAAGAGAGGAATGCGTTGATTGAAAAAGTTTTGGTTTGAACAGTAGAAATGGTTTACTTGATCACTCTGAAATCTGCACGGCAGGTATCTCGAGTTAAGCCTCTGAACAAGGTTTACATATGTGATGCTGCTTCCGCACCTAATTTCACAACTGCGTATTGCAAGGCCTTGATTTGATAAACAACAATACGACGCTCTGAGCGATAAAGTGGTGTTTTATTTTTAATTTTTTTATGAAAAGAGCTGCGGTTGTAGTAGCATTACATTGGAATAAGGTAGAATCATGTGCTTTTGTGGAAAAAATGAGTGCAGATATTTTCAAGCAAAAAGATGTACATAGTAATCATCCATGCTAGCGAAATCTTCTCTTGTTCAATTATATATTGTCTATTTTGTTTTTGGTAGGATGAAAATAGAAAGTTCTCTTTTCATATCCTAAAACCATTTCCATCACCGTTGCAACGTATATCACGTCGGCTTAGATGTAATGCTTCGAGTCAAATTTACAGTGAACTCAAACATGTCCACGTCTATTACACAAATTACAGTCTAAATGCATCATGGCGAGGTCATCGAGTACTCCACAAAACCCCGAAACCGCATAGCACAAATTAAGAATGCCAACCGAACGTCATCATATGCTGCCGCCATAACCAGTTGCAAATTTACAATCTAAATACATTGTAGATGTTTGTGAAGCAGCAAAAACCATAAACTGGAGGAATCAACAAACGAAGAGAAGATTACAACAGGAAATAAAGCATAGAGAATCTAACCTTGACTACTGAGAGAGCGATTGCTTTGGGAGGTGAAAATCTCAAAAGGAGGAAGCAGATCAAGGGTGGAGATTGATATCATGAGTGCGGCATGGTTGGAAAAGAGGTTGGAGGAATGACGAATGGGGCGATATCATATGATCTGGAATTTGGAAGTACTTACGCGCCGTCCATCGCTGCAGCCGCGAAATGAAATGCCTCATCCATCCCCACTGCCACCAACTCTGTTTCATCCCAAAGTAAGACCTGACCTCGTAACACGTGGCCTCCCTTTATATGTGCCGCGTGTGGATGTTTATTACATATTCCCACATGCTTTGAGCCTGCAGGGACCAACTGTTGCTGATATCTCAGCACTTTGTGCGGATCGCAAATGGCGGAGACTTGAATGATGCGTCATATCTATTTTTTCTCCCCCAAAGCCGTGGCAGAGACCGTATTTTGTCCGGCACTCATAGATATAAATAAATACATAAGTAATTAATTATCCTCAATATAAGAATTATTTAATTAATTTGATTAGATTAGAAAAGTTAGGTAAATTAATTAATTATAATAAATATAATATATTTTTCTTAAAATATCATAATTATTTTTTTAATATTTCCTGGTTGATGAAATAATCATAAGAGTAATTTAAGAAAAATTGATAAATATAAAAAATAAATCTTATATTTAGGATCATAATAACTTAATAATTAAGCCTATATTAAGGACCGGAGGAGTATTAAATAATGAAAATGAAAATAGAAAAAGCCTTTTGGAAAATAATAAACAAAATAAGAAAAATCTGTTGATTGTTTTCTTTCTAAATAACTTTGGAAAATGTTATAAGATGTCCAAAATTAATTCCAAAATCATACCCTCCCTTTTATTTGATTTCCAAATCTGTGATGAGGATTTGGAAATAGTAATGAGGGTCAAATGACAAGCAATAGAAGTTTACTATTGGATAAGGTCGTCAACGAGACAAACCCGAGCTTTGTGGATAGTGGAGGAGGCAAAACACATGGTAGAAAATTACCACACGAAGCGTATTTAACAAGCAAGAGTCGGCATCTTGATTGAATTCCCTGTAAGTAAACTCACAAAAGACTGACCAATGTCCGGCTAATATCATCCTGGCTTCTTCTAAAATATCTCTGAATGGGGGATGATTCGTGACAGTGTCCCCGTAGGTTTTTTTTTTTTGGGGGGGGGGGTGGGGGGGGGGAAGCTTTTTTATATGCCCAGTCCAGTTCTGTAAAAGAAGTTGCCAAAAGGCCCAGTAATGTTTATAGACGCAAAACACATGGTAGAGAGCTTGCAAGCATCTGGGACTTTACCTCCCATTGATTCAAATTCCTGTCCTGACATTTCTGACCATTCAATTCAACACCGATTTTGCTTTTCTTTAATTACCCCATACAATCATGGTTCGTGTTCCCGACATTGGTCCCGTATTCTCTGCATCAAAGCGATGAAGCAGAAATCCTAATCAAATGCAACACCCCTGAGAAAGGGAAAGCGCCAAGTGAATGAGATTGACAGTTCAATAAATATGAGCTGACGACGACTGCACCTTAAATGATGTTCCCCACCCTGGAGGAGAGTGTTATTGGACAATGGTCGTGGGTGCTAGGATAATGAATCGATGGAACGGAGCTATCCTCCATGGTTTGCAAGAATTAATCCCCCGAAGGCATGCAAATAATGGGCATGCCGCACGATGATTTACGGGGTGACCACACACATGACCGTGTTTAGCCTTTATATCAACACATCATCAAACAAGTTTTGTCCTTGTCCTTCTTGGTGGGCAGCCCCATTATTATCAGACTCTCTCTCTTTTTTTCTCTGGCCCCCCAGACCCCATTAAACAAGGCTTGTTTAATTAGCATCCGCTCCTCGACTCAGAACTTCATTTTTTTTCAATTTTTTTAAAATATTACTAATCTACTATGTAACGAAGTTAACCAACACTACTATCTGCTAATCACCGAGAGGAAAGTAGGCTTATTGCGAGTATATGCGCAGTGTCGACCTCTGGCCTTCGAGTGAGGCGGTCGTATTGTGGGCTTCCAACTGGACCAACCATTACATTCAACCAAAACAGAGACGCAGTTGCTACTTGCATTCTACCCCCATTATTTTCTTTAGTTTTATTTGGAAAGGAGGCATAAATTTTTGACAGTTGACAGATTTTTCCCTTTAAAGGAACAGGAATCTAACTCGAGCCTTCCAAACTGAATAAAATTGTAAAATATGGAGTGTGGGGGATGGTAATGGTAATGAGACGGGAATAAGTGGGATTATTCGAGATAAATTAAACTCTGGGGTTGAGGGAGGGCGTTGGAGAAATGGATGCAGTGTGGCCTTTTGATTTAGAAAAGGCGAGGGCATGAGGTGCATCAGATGCACAAAGACGATAGGCACGTACGCGCATTCTCAAATCTTTCGGTGCATCAGTGTGGTCTTGTCTCTCTTTTTCCGTATTGGACTATACCACCCTGCAAAACCCAATTCAAACCAAAAAACATCAAAACACCGCCCGCGCCTGTGTACAGATTTGGATTCCTCTAGGTTGTCTCATTAAATCCATGCAATCTCAAAGCATGATTATAGTAGAATTCATATACATCTGTCACTTTTATACTTTATATCTCACTGTAACAAGCACAAATATTTTTTAAAAAAACATAGCTTAAATGTTGGTTGTTGAAATTAAGGAACCCAACTCATGGGCCTTCTCTTTCACGATAATCTCCCAATGTGGGAGTCATAATACTTACTCCGATTGGCCTCATGAAACATGAGGTAATGTTTTTCTGCGAATACCTTGTGTTTGTGTAAGTTATAAATGGAGAGAATACAACAGTGATGAATGGAGGCGAGAGAGGGGGGGGGGGATGCCAAACGAGGACAATTAAATACGGAGGTTTCTAAGGACAGAACAAGCAGAGCTAATGTTGGCCATCACTATCCGCTGATTCTAAACGAACAAGTCGGTATAGGCGTAACTTCCCCCACCGCACCCACATTTATTTTCCATTTCCCGTTGCATCAAATCATCTTTCCACACCTTGCCTTCTTGTTTTGCCCACAGCAAAGAGCACAACACTTTGGTGTCCAGTTTATGCTTCCCCCTTTTTCTCACCGTCCATTGTGTCTGCCCTTTGTTTTTCTATTCAGCCATCCACAAAGCCATCATTTTCATTCCCATCTTTTTCTACCCCCATAAAAAATCGTCCTCTTTTATTTTTTAATTTTTTCCGCTTGTTTAGGCCCCTGGTTCTCCTTAAAGCGTGACGTAAAATAAAAATGAAAAAATATCTCGTCACATCTGATCTTAGATGGTTTGACACGGTAAAAAGGTGCGCATGTAACTTCATTTCAAGTACTCACAAGCAAAGAGCTTCAAGTCTCATTTGTTTAGTGACAACGAAAATAGAAGAAGGCCAGTACGAAACACAATTAAATGTCGTCGCTTCTTATTTATATTTTTTATATATAATTTTAAATATAAAAATCCGAATTTCTACCATTATTTTTGGAACCCGGATGAATAAAATAATTAAACTAAGATATCAGTGAAGGCAAGATAAAGAAAACACCAGATGAAAATTACTTCGATGTCAATTTGACATAAATGAGAGAAACAAAATTTTCATAATAATTGTCTTTTTGCAATTACTACTTTTTCATTATTTAAAAAATACTACTTCCGATCCTAATTATAATATCTCCTCTGTAGACTATAAATGATGTTTTATAATCAGGTAGTAGGATCTTTTTCACTTTTACATTCATTTTTAATTATTTTTCCTATATATCAAACAGGCCACAACTTGTGATAAAAAACACCAAAACATAGAAAGTCTTCTGAAGTTCCCATTCATATTCATTTTTTCTATACATTGACGCAGACACATATTAATAACAATAGAAAATATAAATTTATTAGGCTTCTAAAAATAACAATATTGTAAAAATATTATATACAAGGCTAAATTATATAATGTAAAAAAGATATAAAAACAATATTATTAAAAATACCATAAAAAACACTTTACAATGGCTCTATGAATTATTTATTAATGAAAACGATATTATTGAGATAACATTGCAACTCAAGAACTAAAAATTACTGTAAAATAGTTATTATTAATAAGTGAATTGAATAATTATTAAATTATTATTAATAAATAATTTTTTTTAAAAAAAATTTCAGGATGGGATGAGATGAGATGACCTCGTCCTATATCCCATCATGTCCCGATTACTATTTTGTCATGTTCTGTAATCATCTCGTCCTGAACATTGTTTTGTCCAGTCTAAATTAACCAGGTTCAAAACAAAACAAGTTGAACACCCATATTGTGTGTATCGGAGTGTGTAAAATATTTTTGAAAATCTTCATTTATAGTGGGATATTGCTGAAATAGGATTTAGGATAAAAGTATAATATTACCATTTATCTTATTTTTTAGGTGCACTTATCATACGCCCTTCATCTTTTATTTTGTACAATTGTACCCATAATTCTTTTATTTTGATGCATGTGAGAAAAATTGTGAGTAAAATTATACAAAAATTATGAATAAAATTGTGATGTTGTGTACATGAGACAAATAAAATTATGAGTAAAATTACAAATTTTGATATTTATCTGTAATTTAATAGTATTATTTTGACCAAAAATTTAATAGTATGAGAAAGTTAAAGGTAACTGTACAAAAAATAATTACAATAACGTCTGAAAGTACAACAATGAGTACGTACTGTTATACTTTTAAAGTAAGAATATTACGCCATCATTTCTCTTAAGCATTAATTTTAACTAATAATTAAAGTTTTTGGAGTTAATTATTTATATCCGGTATGAGAATCACAATCAGGTGAGGTTATGTGTAGTTTGGTGATTGATGCACGTGGGAGTCAGAGTCAGACGGCTGTCAGCGATTTCAACGACCCAGATTTAGTTCTGGGCATTGGGCTCTTCTTTTATGTTCCCCAAGCTCCCCTGGTTGCCACTTCTTCCTCACCTAGCTTTCCAGAGTCAGATCAGACTCATACCCCCAGAAGCAGGAGTGTCACTGAGCTTTCTGCTTCGGCGATCCTAAAATAATACAAGGGGAGGGAAGATGTTGTTAGGGAAGAGACCTCGTCCTCCAATGAAGAGGACCACAAGCACGTCAGAAATCGGCTTGGATCTCAGCACCACCACCGATCCTAAGCGGCAGATTGCAGGCGGGTTCAGTAATGGGCCCGATCAGAGGACGATGGCCGCCGCCACTACTCTGTCGCCAACAACCCATAGAAGGCACTCGACCGACTTCACTGACACTCCTGACTTTTTGCGCTCTTGCTCTTTCTGTAAACGTCCCTTGGTACCCACCTGTGACATCTACATGTACAGGTTGCCCATTCTTCTCTCTGTTTCCGAGTTTATTTTCCTTCCCTTTTCAGTTTCAGCTTAGGTGTATTTTCTGAATTGCGCTGCCTATGTTTTTCCAAGTAACTCGAAAGCCACTGAAGATGGGCTCGTTCCGATTTGAAGAAAATGGGTTTAGGGATTTATGTTGTGTTTGTGTGATGAAATTATGCAGGGGGGATAGCGCTTTCTGCAGCGTAGAATGCCGTCAACAGGCGATGAATCGGGATGAGAGGAAGGAGAAGTGCTCGCTGACATCAAAGAAAAAGACTGTGGCTCATCATTCTGCTGGATCCAAAGTCGCCTCTAATGGCGAAACCGTGGGCGCCTTGTAAAATCTCTCAGCGCCCCATCCATCATGTACTCGCCACCTAGCTGTGCCCTCTTCTGCCTTATTAGAATTTGTTCATACACCTCTTTCTACCTTATTTTATTTTCCTTCCCGTAATTTTTGTTCTCATGCTCCGTAGGGGGATTGGGAGTTGGTCATCTTCTTGCTCGCTAGTCTACATCTGGCGTAGTTTTCCCCCCGTTTTCCTTTATTTTTATTTTTTGGGAAACAATTTGCAGCTCTCATAAGATTTTGTTACGTCTTTTAGTTGACAAGAAATTAGGAAAAGGAAAAACCGAGGCTTATAATTCCTCTCTTGTTGTATTTCTTTTTGGATTCGCGTCAGGTATGATAACTCTGGATCGATTATAGTGTGATGCTCTGTGTTTTCTGAAGAAGTTACTGTTAGTTCAGTGAAAACGAACTATATATCCGCTTCTCTCTTTTTGGTGGATCGATCAGAATCCAGAATCATGAATGAAATTGGGCTGTAAGTTCTCTTTTCAAAGAATGTAAAGGAAGGAGACGGTGATTCACTCACAATCACAAGCCGTAGTTTTTTTTTTTTTTGGGCGGGGGAGGGTGGTGGGTCCCGGGGGGGGGGGGGGGGGGGGAGAGATAGCACGAGAAAAGATCTGGGGAGGGATGAAAGGGGTGAAGGAATCTGTGGCCTACTCAGCCTTGCATGGGAGCTGACCCCACTCACCACCATGAGTAAACAGTTGTTGGAAGTTGATTCATAGCTTCGATCTCAGCTTAGCAAATATGCAAATATAATTACATATGTACACATCTAATTTTCAAGTGAATTCTTATGAATTCACGATCAAATAAATGAATTTTCATAAATATTAGTTAAAATAGTAAATGGTTTTTTTTATAAAAAAATTAGTTCAGATCTTGATAAATATATTTATTAGTATAAGAAAAGTTTTAACTTTAATGTTTTCACTTAGCAGAGATTAGTCGAGAAGGAGTTTAACAAAATAAATAAGTGAATTGAGGCAGTTAAGTACTTGGGGGCGACACAGGATGAAGGATGGCGATTGAGATCAGGGAGAGGGGTGTGGGGGCCAGAGCCAGAGGAGACGACGCGGGAGTCAGGCATATTGCCCCGGGGGAGTATCGCTGGGGGCCACGCGAGTTTAGAGGCAGCACGTGCGTGACCACGCCCAAGTGAGAGAGATCATGATTGGTTAAGCTCCCCGACAGGACAGCTGGTGCGGGGTGGACGCTAGCGGAGGCAGCCACCCATAGGATTCGCTTATCATGCTTTCGGTTTTTTCCATCATAATTCATTAATCTAGTTCCATTTTGCGTACACTCCTATCTCACCCAGTCAAGATTTTAGTATCCGTTTGGATTAGTGGTAAATATCTGTAATTTTATATGATCATGATTTTTATAAATAATACTGGTTAAAAGTGATGTTAATACTTCTATTTGGGTACTCTTATCTTATAAGTGGTATTAAGAATGTGAATTATGTTTGGATTTTATCTATTAAAATTACTTATAAATATATAATTACCAAAAAGCAATAAAGGTTGACAAGAGAAATTTAATTTAATATAATTCTTATAATTAATTATTATTTAAATATAATTTTAATTTAATAATTATTATCAATAAGGGTATATAGGAAAAATCTTAGTCGCTGAAGCTCTATAGTGATTTACTTTTAGTAGCTTATACTCAAACGTGTAATTGGGATTAAAATTATGATTTATGAGGATTTCAAGAAATTTAGTCAAACAGGATAAATATACTCTATAATCATTTATTTGAGTTCAAATGAGCTTCTTTAAACTTTCACCAGTCAACAAAAAACTGATTTTTTCTTTTTCAGCAGACCCGTAGTAATCCATGGAATAATTCGCTCTTCAACAAAAATCAAAATCGGCCTCAGCTTCCTTCCAGCGCAATCGATGCACACGGTAGATGTGGATAGTTAGATCAAATGAAGTGAGTGATATGAAATTACCGTTAGAAAACAGAAGTGAAAAAGAAGCCGCAGGGGCAGCCCAAACCATATATACAATTGTACATCACAGAAGATTCCCATCAATTACAGTTATTACCAACCGGGGTTGGTTCAAGTAATAAGCGGTTTGATACCGTTTAAGCGAAGTCTCGAGTTCGAGCCAGATGTAGTTGGAATAAAGGTCTGATAAACCGGGTGGGCAACCAAAAAAAACTACGGTTATTCTTCGTTACACAGGTTCGGTGGCGACATATTTAAAAATAGACAAGTGAGGGGTCGTCATGCTGGCAATCACTATTTATTTCCACTCGCCTGGAAGCTCACCCAGCGAGGTAGCAGTAGCAATATGATAATAAACTTGAGAATACGGATGATTAATCAGGCAACTTGGGGGGACAAATCTAATGGGATCCAACAATTTTAATTATTACTATATGATTCTTGTGAACATTTCTGTGGGTTCTCCTTCACTTTCCTCGTACGCAATAAACAAAACCATGAGATATATATAATATGGCAAGTAGTATAATGTACTTTGTTTCTCGTACACGTACGTGCCCTTATCTTAATCATATGCCTTTCCGATGTTGGCATGAAACCATAACCAGAGGGAATATATAAGTGATGTAACAATTGGCGTCCTTTTGTTACGTTACACTAACAAAATAATGATAACAATAAATACTGCTTAGTTAGATTAATTAAGATGCAAATGGCATTCGTTTGTGGTCAGAATTCAGAAGCCAAGGCGTGGCACTGTCGATCGATAATAATTGAGCTAGCAGTTGATGACATGTGCTCAACAATAATACATGAAAACTCATTCATATTCCTTTTTTTTTAAAAAAAAAAAAAACTGCAGCTGGAGGAGGTCGCTTTTAATTTGATTCTACCTGACACTTCCATAATCAAGCATCGGTTAGGCACTAAACTTAAAGCCACATTGCGCAAGTGGACATGTGCCGACGTGTGTCAATTGCCAATTAACTATACCCACCTCATCAACTTAAAATTCCAAATGCATGCTCACTCTTTTTCTTTTTCTTTTTTTGTGGGGGGCTTAGGAATATATAGCGTATATCTGCAAAAGCAAATAGCGGTAGCTATGTGTTGGAAATAGAAGTCAAGATTTTCAAAAACCTTGGTTGCAATATTACAATGGAATAATTCTGATGCGGGGGCCATTGAATGTTAGGTGTCCATTGAGATGGGTTCAGGTTCAAGATGAGAACGATATTAGTCGGCCGGGAAACGAAACCGTAAATGATGGTTTTAATCACTTTATAATAATGTAGTTGTTTTCCACATGTTTGTTAAATGCATATCCACTCAAATGCATGCAATCAAAATATATATCGCGTGTTGAATTTAATTAATTCAATTTATTTTGTCACTGAGATTGTACTTCTAAGGGCTCATCATACCTTCACATGTAATTAGTTTTAATTTTAATTACTTTTATGCCTCTGATCTGCAACTAATTTTAATCTGAAGTCAATGTCAGCCTTCTGCATAAAACACCAACTATTGTTCACCTCGGTCGACAAGTACCATCGTACACACTCCTAACATTCGCCCTTTCACGCTCATATTTTCCTGCTTGAAAATGCGAAGATATGCCTTTTTAATCTGGGCGACTGTCCCTTAATGAGTAGAGTCAGATAGGGTATTTCTCAGGTCAAGGGCAAGGTCAAACATGAGATAATTAAGATGCATTTAGGGCAATTAATGACAGGGCCATGATTGTGGGGCGACTTAATTGGGTCTTGGTCTTGGTGAGTGGAAGCAATTATATGGGGCGACTTAATGACACGTTCTTCTTTCTCTCATGTAATGGGCCGTTCCCACGTTTAGCCGCCTCGTCAGTTGAAGTACTCCATTTCCCCCTAACCGGTAAGAGCAGGCGGGACATAAATAACTAAGCACAACTATGAAGACACAACTAGCAAGTAAGATCCTCCATATATGGGATCGACTTGGGTCTTCATTTGCCTTGTTCGCATATGGCAATATTAAGACTTAACGTGCATCCATCGATGACCACAAAAAACCAGAAAAGAAGGGGGGGGGGAGGAACCAGGAATATTTAGTTCCCGGCCTGGCCTTTGATGGTTCGCGGGGATTTCAACCGAGAGGAGCTCCCGCTATTTATTCTCGCTAACTGGAGAGGGTTCTCTGGTGGGCAGAGGGACCTTTTTGAAGGAATTCTTCAAGCCGGATCAACAATTGTGGAGAACCTCAGGACATACGAGCAACCCATATTTGTTTATCTCCCAATGATGGGTGAACTCCGTGGTGGGGCATGGGTTGTTGTAGACAGTAAAATCAATTTGAACCACATTGAAATGTATGCTGATCAAACAGCCAAGGGCAATGTCTTGGAGCCAGAAGGGATGGTTCAGATCAAATTCAGGACAAAGGAATTGTTGGAGTGCATGGGTAGACTTGATCAACAATTGATTAATTTGAAGGCAAAACTTCAGGATGCCAAGAGTAGCAGGGCCCTTGGGAGTATTGAATCCTTGCAGCAGCAAATCAACTCCCGGGAGAAGCAACTTTTGCCAGTGTACACACAGATAGCTACCAAATTTGCTGAATTACATGACACCCCCTTACGAATGGCTGCCAAGGGTGAAATAAGAGAAGTCCTGGATTGGAGGAAGTCCCGTTCTTTCTTCTGTCAGAGACTGCGAAGGAGAATTGGGGAACATTCTCTGATCAACAGTGTGAGAGATGCAGCCGGTGACCACCTGTCACATGAATATGCAATGAGCTTGATAAAAAATTGGTATCTGAGTTCTAATATATCCAGAGGTGAAGATGCTTGGCTGGACGATGAAAGTTTCTTTACATGGAAGAATGATCCTAGAAACTACGAGGATAAACTGAAGGAATTACGTGTCCAGAAGCTGTTGCTTCAATTGACAAGTATTGGTCACTCGGTTTTGGAGCTGCAAGCCTTACCTCAAGGATTTTCTGCACTTTTAAGCAGGGTATAATAACGTTATTATCTCAAGTCTTTTCTAATTTGCAATTTGTTTCTTATCTCCTGAAACGTGATGGTATTTTTGCCTTTAATGTCTTGTAGGTGGAGCCACCGATGCGAGCGAAGTTGATTGAAGAACTTCGCAAAGTAATTAACTAGAAGGCTATATGCTTCTCGATCGGGCGGCTAAAGAAATTCCTGCGAGTTGCATTATAATTGCAGTAAACTTTTTTTTTTTTTTAACCAGTTTTCATATCCCACGGCTAAGCTTTTTATCCGCATACAACAGCAATATTTCTAGTATCTCGTTGCTTGATTTAGTGTAATCATATCTATATGCAATTTCAGGAATTTTAAGCAAAACGTAAGTGCGTTCTCTTCATAATTACCTATTTTAGTAGATTCATTTTGGGGTACAGTTCAGTCATGCTCGTTTTCTACCATGCTCTAAGAAAAACATTTAGATATCATATAAGGTGTTCACATTTATTCCGAACACGCAATTTCAACGTGGCTTACCATTTATAAAAATAACACAACAAAAATCAGTACACTACTATATATAACATTACCTTTGATTTTGACTCAAAAAAACTACATGATATGAAAAATTGGCAACAAACTAATAAATCTGTTCCGCCTGAAACAAAGCAGACTCCGGCTAAAAAGAATTACGTGATTTGAAGCGTAAAAGGAGCATGGAACTTCCTCGTTGTTTTTGAGGTTGTGAAGCCAAGAGTGTTGGAGCCAATTTGTGGTATGACTTGGAAAAGCAACCAGTGCAGACACAGAGTGATGTGTTAGTGTCAATTATATTATTTCACCTTATGCTTCATTTTCTCCTTCCTTTCCTTTTCTTTTCTCTTCATGTCCCGGCGTTTTTTCTTTTCCTTCTCTTGTTGCCTTTTCATCTCCTCTTGCGCTCGTCTCTTGTTCTCCTTTTCCCTCTGTTCTCTTCTTTTTCTTTCTTCTTCTTCCTTCGTCTTTCTTTTCTCTTTCTCTTTAGCCTTCCTCTCCTTTTCCTTTAGCTCTGCCTTTTTCCTCCTCTCTTTCTCCTTCAACTCTTCTCTAGTGAGCTCCTTTCCAATTTTGAAGCACATATTGGCAGAGAACTATGCAACTCAACTTTCCTGTCCTCACAACCATACATCATACATATGTGTGTGTAGAGAGAGAGAGAGAGTTTCTACCCCAAAAAATTATTTTTTGGTCGCAAATTTGCAATACTCTGATTCAAGTTTTCTGTTGTCTCGTTGTAGGCTGTAGTTGTAGACAGCCGTCCAATGGCCAGCAGCAGAATTGGTCTTTTCGATGTCGTGTGTCTGATGAGAAATATTGTTCAACTGTCGTATGTTAGTGTTCCGATCATTTGTTCTTCCATTTAAAACTTATTCATGTCATAATAGCCCAAAGTTATAATGCCTTAGATAACCGATTTCAGTTTGATCGTAGTCAGAGAATGCCTTGTAGCAAAATAAGTAAAGAACTGTTAATTCATGTATGTGTACGATTAAAAAACTCTAATAGATTATAGAAGTATTATTTATAAATGATCAATAACATGTCTCAATTTTTAGAATTCGTATAATGTACAGGAGCTGTATTAGTTCCAGAATAAAATACTCATTAATATCATTGTCTCTATCATTTAAAAATATAATGGACTGGTGATGGCGACAAAAAACAATTTTTAACAATGCCTTTAGTCTCTGAAATAATGTTTTAGGAACCAAAACTATTTGTTTCAAATTTTAAAGACTAAAACTAAAATAAAGCTTAATTTTAAAAGCTAAAAATAATATTAATAAAAAATTTATTCGTGAAATGCGTTCGCTAGACTTGCTCGATTGATTATTCAAAAAAGAAAGAGCACACGAAGTCATGAAGAGTATTATTTAGATTTAGTGAGAGAGGGATGAGAAATTATCTTCTAATTCAAATTTCAGGAGATTGCGAGTTCAACAGTGCATATTCTTTTAATTAAAAAAAATTGTCCAATTTAAATAACAATGCAATATTTTAACAATTTTTTTATCACATGAGAATATGAGATTAACCAATTAACTACTATGAATTCTCAACTATCATACTCTATCCTCATTAAATAATTTTTTTAAAAAACTATCTTCAGTTTAAATAAATTGTCCTGTTAAAAAATTTATATTTTTAATGTATTCGTGGCTTTAAAACTTTGAGAAAACATTAATTATTTTTTGAAAAAATCAAATTGCATATCATAAATCTCATACTACCTCCTATCCTAATTATAAAAGCTAGTTGACTAATTTGAAGAGATTAAGAAGATAAGTTAAGTTAGTTATTTGTAATGAAGAGGTGTTGTTTTTCATAAAATATCCTTACTAATCAAGTGTATTGGCTAGAACTATCATTTAAAAGAACTTCTTTGGGAAAAAATATATAAATATGAGAGACAGAGTGGATTGAGATATTATATTTAGGATCAAAATAAAAGTCAAACGAGATGTTGTATTAAGGACCAAAGTTAGTATCTTTTAGTAATTATACATTTGAAAATAGTACTCCTCCGATCCTTAATATAGGACCCAATTGTTGAGTTGGTTTTGGTCCTAAATATAGGATCCATTTCTCATATTTATCAATTTTCTCTAAATTACCCCTATGGATACTCTCTCAACCATAATCAAGTAGAAGAGGGAGATGAGATATTAAGAAAAATAATTATGGTATTTTAGGAAAAATGTATCACTTTTCTTATGATTAACTAACTTACCTAACTTCTTTAATCTAATCAAATTAGTTAAATGAGTCTTATATTAAGGACCGGAAGAGTAATTAAGCCGGTGCCATGGGAACAGGTAGGAAAGTGGGCTTGTGATTACAGAAACGGAGGAGCAGGTTCTCATATTGGAGGGCACAGCAGGCGCATCCCTCTCTCTCTCTCTCTCGTTATTATTCTTTAATGGATGAGGATGGATCACAGCCGAGGCCGGTTCCAGCAGCTTTCCCTTTTTCCTGGTGGCCATCTATTCACAGGTAGGAGAGAGTGTTCAAACTTGGCTCCTCAGCCACTTCAGCTTGGGAGAACAGTATGAAACAGCATCTGCGACTGTGAGGAAGATCTTGTCCTCCCCAATCTTATATGCAAAATTGGAATTCCTTGAAGAAGTTCTGTTCCACTCTGTGGACATATGCTGCCTGATCATGTGAAGATACATGCACCTCTTTTTGTTTGAGGATTTTCATCGTCTTCATGGCCCACTCAACAAATCAAACAAGACCTCTTCCACCTATGATGTAGGAAAAATGATCACAATATATTTTAGAGTAGTAATGGCTGGTATACTTTTGAGTGTTAGAGTTCAATAATTAAGCATATGTACCATGTAGCTCACAACGCTGGTATACAATTAATGCATGGGGGAAAATATTTAGTGGAAATTGAGAAATAGAAAAATCATAAATTGATCTTCCTCCTAACGTAGTCATGAGCAATAATTCAGGAAATGTGTGACGGACCTGAGTCAAAGAAAGCAGACGACGGTGACAGTAGGTTTGGATGATCACTGATTCAAGCTGGGAAAGGTCACTCTGAAGCAATCTACGAGTCTAAGTTCTCAAGCTGAAATAAAAGCTCAGAGAGAGACCACAGCCGTTGCATCTCACGGGCGTGTTGCATGTGCATGTCCAGATAGAATTACGGGTATCTCGAACTCTTATTGTTGGGTTGAGTTGTTAGTCCGCGTCTGGTGGATTTAGCCTAAGCCCAGACATTTTTTCTTGGGTACTAATGTTCCTTTATTTTGAAAAAGCGGGAACGTTTATTTTCTCCCAGGCCGTCATGACTCAGCAAGTGGGAATATGTGAAACGGTGGGTGCTTCTGGGTCCAGCTGCCCTGATAAATTCAGTCTCTTACGTGTGGCGTCAATTGCTGTGTTTGGTGACTCAGCTCATTGGGTGGGCCTGAAGATCGGGGTAACGGAACCGAGGTAAGTGTTCTAAACCCAGTAACTGTATATGATATGGTTGTTTTATTCTCGTAAAAGAATAAAAATAATAATCAAATTCTCGTGTTAATTATTTTCAAAGAACAAAAAGTCCCACGCTTCTGAATTAATTGATTTTTAAAAGCCGGCTTGGCAGTTCAAGGTGAGAGGTTGGGATTTAATGAGCTTAGGCACACAAATTAAAGCTCCACAGAATTTATGCTCACTTTATGCACGATAATATCAAGAGAATTGAATTAATTTCAACTTTGCAAAGAGGACCAAAACCCGAATTTTTCTCAACCTGCTTGCCACTGAGCGTCCGTTCTACTTCTGAGATGAAGAGCGATCAGCAGCGACTCTATTTGATGATTTTTTTGTTTAATAAAAAAAGGGAAATATATTTTATATGCCCAAAACACTGATGAGTCACGACTTGGCTTTCCATCCTGCACTATCAATGGCTGTCGTGTTCCTCAAGGAAACCAGAAGACCCGGTCAGAGTTCCAGAATGGATGAACCCACGATCGTCACTGGAAGGCACCCTGCATTGTGTATCATCCCTTGAAAAGAACACGCGGACAATGTGCGATAAAGAAGAAGACTGCACTACCTCGGAGGTCAGACAGTTACAAGCAACTTCGTTCCCCTGTTTTGTTCCACACAAAATACGTATCCAGGGACCGCCGCTGAACCCCGACGGCACAATGGCAGACTGTTCCAAAAATTAAAAAAACCCCTCCCCCCCCCCAAAAAAAAGGCAAGTCGCGACTTTTCAATTACCGTAATTTGTCTATTTTATCTAAATTTTATAATTTTTTTCTATTTTCATTTCATTATTTTTAAAATAATTTTACATATCTTTTAAATTATACTATCATGATTTTAATTATAAGATCTCATTTATACTAATAAGATTTTTAATAAAAAAAATGAACAAATTAATGATCACAGTGAGAGGGGAGAGCACAGGGCTACACGAGTCAGAAGATCTGTGGCTTTTTTTTAAAATGCGGAAGGGGACAAGGGAGTGCGGGGGTCAGACTCACTTCTTGGGGTTGGCGTCTCTGGACCCCACAGAGTATCAGAAATTGGGAAAACAATCTTGTTGAACAAAGCCCACATACCGTCCAAGTTCCCCCACACGCGTCCTCCGCTATTAAACAGAATACATTACTATGCTCCCATCATCCGAATACCCCCACCTTCAATTTTCTTTCCCTTGCGGGATTATTCTTTCTATGAAATTCACTGGCTTATCCTATCCACCGCCGTGTCCATAAAAATAATAATATTTATAAAAATATTGAAATTTAATCAAAAGAACAGAATCCTCTCACAATGGTGGTTCAAGTCGATACTCCGTCCAAGTTCACAGGCGTCCTCCGCCGCGAGATTCCACTCGTCATCCCTTCAATTTTCTATCAACTTCCTTGGCCACCTCCATGGCCTTTAAACAAAAAGTTTTATTCCTCCAATTCTAATTATAAGATTCTATTTATAGTTTACAAATAACATCTTATTAACAGATTCGGGAGTAGTATTGTTATTCAAACATACTACAGATCAGTAACATAACGTCGTTCACCATTATCCATCCCTCAATATTTCATCTTCGAGTTGTTGAATATATTCTCAGTCGTGGCATATAATACAGTACTGTCAAATGTGTCGTTACAGAAAAATAAGAATGACTTCCGTGATGATGTTAAGCTAAAATCATACCGGGATTAAGTAGTCCCCAAGTCACCGTGTCATTAGGGCTTGTAGAATACTTATAATTCAGCTGGGCGGAGAAAATATAATTGTCAAGAAAATAAAAATCCTAAGTCTCACTCGTGACGTTATTTTTTTTTCCCAATGGAAATTGGAAAATAATTAAGAATCCGTTCAGATAAGATTATAAATAACCTCTAGCGCATAACCGAACTTCGCACACGTACGCCCCTGACTCGATAATTGGCTTCTGTTCATTCAGATTAGATTATGTAAATAGTTGCCCACTCATAGTCTGATACTTTTTTTTGTTTGCCAACCATATACATATATAATAATAATAATAATAGATTCTGTGTGGAAGAAAATACTAGAGGTGGTACGTCGTTGCGTCAATCAATTCCTACACGTAGTTATTTATAAATATTCGATACTTATTACACTAGATAAAAACGGAAGAAGAATGAGATAGCTTCACGACAAATCTATCAATTCGTGACCCGTACAAAATAACTAAACAAGTGGTCATGATATAAATGGGCTGTCTAAATTATGGGTCATTTGATATATCAATTTGATTGGTTTTGGTGAGTTGCAATCATTTGCTTAAATAAGTATGGATCAGGATTTGTTAAGAGCCACCAGTATGATCCACGTCTCCGACTCTGTCTATCTGGAAAATTTGAGTGGCGTTTTATTGTTATTTTAAATATATCACCAAAAACCAAGAGTTTTGATTGTTTTCCGTTTTTTTTTTTCTTTCTCAAAAAACTGTCAGCCTCTTCAACAAACAAGACTGATTAAATAAGTTTTTCCTAGAGGTAGGTCAAGCAGGAGAGATTAGTTTCTAACAACATAATAAATTAATATTTAAATTTTTACCGTACAGAAAACATAATTGATTTAAATAGAAAAATGGTTATTCATGGAAGCAAAAGAAATCGAGGATCTAGCTTGGGGAAGCATATCCCCTAGAAAGCGTCCAAATTCAATGGCCAGTGGTTTCTTTTGCTTTGGTGAGTTATGGCCAGCAGCGGCAGCAGCTTTTCTCGCCCCGAGAGAGTTACAAGAAATCCCAGCCGATCTCAAACTCGCTTAGAAGTTGACTTCCACTAGAGCTGCAATCATTCTTGTTGCAGAGAATCTTTGAATTAGGGGGCACTGGCATTCATATCCCTCCAAATGGAAAATGTAGTAGCTGAAGTCAAAAGCTACACGCAAATCCGAAAAGAATGCCCTCCTTCTGCCTATATGTGTGTGTGTTACCAAAAAGTATATTTACCCCTTGGAAATCAGCTATTCTAGTCATAAAATAATGAAAATGACAAGCGAGGGATTAGGATTTCTGAAACCACAACCGAAAAGATAAGTGCAACAAAGAGGGTGGAAGGGAAAGTAAGGTCAAAGGCCAGGAGTATCATTAGATAGTGGGTCGGCTATAAAGCAGGTAAGAGGAGAGGGCTGTGATGCTCCAAGTCTTTCCAAAGAAGAATATGAGTTCAATCAAGTGGTCCATGGAAGATGCCTCAAGAGCCCTCCTCCATACAATGCTGTCTCGTTTTGGCGTTCTGGCACAGTGGCACCCGAATGATCGACATCCACCCACTTGTTCTCCTTCAGTGCTTTGTGCATTATGCCCAATTTCGTGGGTTTTCATCCAAGTCTTCCCGGAGGGGCTCGCATGAGTCCTCATACTCAAAATTATTCAAGCATTTAGTGGTCCATGCCTCTTCTGGTTTCTTCCGCAATCTTAGTCTGTGAACTCTCGCTAATTAATAAATTTGCGTCACACTACATATTCAGATGTTGGTTTATTAAGAAAGAAATGTAGTAGAGATCGTGATATTGATACTGAAGGGAAAAAATGAGATTGTGCATGGTTTAAACAAAATGTTAAAGAGATAACAAGAACATAAGTGAATAAATGGAAACTTGGGTAGCCGTTCATATATACAAACAATGAAAATATGGTGAAATTTAGGTCCTGCTCTCAATGTTTCACGACCTTCGAACTGTTTTGATTTGTTTATTTGGAAAGAGGGAGTGTGATTACTAACCATAACTTTTTTGACGCAGCACTCCCCACCGTCTTGAACAGGTAGTCAATCAGCAGCTCATGCATGTTAGGTAGATCTAGATGAACTTTTGTTCAGGACTGTCTTTAAAATTCTCTGTTGGTCTCGTGTGCATATACTCTGTCACGGAGATCTTACAGTGCCTGTCCTACTGTTTAAACTTTTTTCTGATATATATTATTCTACATTATCTGTTTCTTCCCATCGAAAGGAGCCAGGAAATGGCCAAAAGTCTAGTTATGGCCTATCTAGGGGAACCATACAAAGGGGAAGCAAATAAAAATATCATCACGAGCATTAAGTAGCTAGGGGGAAACTGAAGATAACTCGCAGACATATAGCCTCGCCCTTGGCGTCATGAAACTGTCACATGCATGTAGTGCGCAATTTGATTCCAGCAAGTGAGGTGGAGTCCGGACAAACGCTGCTTCACCGTGCTTAAAAGGTTTCGAATCATGCATGTGGAATCCCTTCAACTTTTGATTTGATTTCTATGTATGTATGATTCCGAACTTTTTTTTGGCCTAAAGTGTATGATTCCGAGCTAGAGACCCTTACAAGTTACATCTACACCTCTAACTTTATGCTCCAATAAATGTGTCGATGAACGAATAAGGGAAGATGGGTTGCAGGCCAAAAAAAATAAAATAAGGAAAGATGGGTTTCAGCACCGCCAGCATTTAATTATATGATTAATGATTAAATATGTCAAAATAATCCTGTAATTTTTCTTTATTTCCTGCCTCTACACTTAAAAAGAATTTTATATTCTTCCAAAACCTATTTACAAACACTATTTAACTTTTTAATTATTGAATAATTATATAATAATTCAATATATACATGTTAAACCCCATTTTCAATTAATGGCATATCACTTGCACATGGCAGCATGGAGCAGCCACAGTAAATACATTGTTAATTTCCCATCGATTATTTTCAAAAAATGGAACGAAGTAAGAGTGATTGGGAGGGTTCACCCACTTCCCATTTCCTAATTTATGAGAAGTTGAGAGAATCTTTTCTCGCTGTAATTCAATTAATGAAAAATATATATATTTGTCCCGGCAAAGAAAAAACAAGAAATTAAGTACGTATATATCTTTGTACCTTCTGCACATAGGTGACAGGTCCCGTGATCTTTTTGTGTGTGTCCTGGATTCTCTATTTTGCATTTCCGTAATAGGTTGCATATGGGAAGCTTAAGTTAGAGTTCGAGTTTTGATCATAACGTCAGTGTCTTATGGTTTTTTTCTTTTTTCTGTTTTGGTTGGAGGAAGGAGGCCAAGTCATAAGAAGCATCAGATACGGGGGCTCGCTGCAACTATTAGGTTCTTCTATTCCATCTTGCCGGCAAAGTTTTCGCCAGAAGGGAATCCTGAGGGTGGGCGAAACCGTCAGAGGAATCAGAAGCACTTATCCCTCTGTAGATATCTTGCCAAGAAGAAAGAAGGTTATTGAAGGCAAAGATTAGAGAAGAAAAGAAATATTTAATGTATTTATGTTTTGTTATTACTTTTCATTAATAACATCTAAGGTGAGTTTTAGATATTATATCTTCTGTTAATATTTTCATATTTTAGAAGATAAATCTAAGATATTGTTACCTTTAGTCCTTAATATAAATTCTAATCTATTTTATCTTTCATATTTATTTATTTATTTTTAAGACAGTCCTTGTAATAATAATAGTTGTAGCTAATATACTTAATTGGTAAGGATATTTTAAGAAAGACAATATATATTTATTACACGTAATTAATATAACTAATTTTTTTAATCTACTCAAATTAGTCAACTAATTTTTGTATTAAGTACAGAAGTAGTATTTAAGAATTAGTAAGGGATGTGATAATTTAGAGTTTTGCTTCAGTCCTATATATATATATACCTGACGAACACGGTAACGTAGTTTAATTATTGAATGCGCCCCACACAAGGAAACTGTTAATTGGGTTAATGTATTATTATTAATTGGCTAGCTATAGAGAAAACGTGTCTTTTCTCATGATCATATGAAATTCATGCTGACCCGTCGTCTTCAATTATTAGTTTCAGTTCATCTGAAAGTCTAATTTCATATTTCAGTTTAGATCTAAAACAACTATAGTGTGATCCGCCAGTTCAGATCAGCGCGAAATTATTACATAAAATATTGTGGCCCTTACAATAATGATCAGCTTAATTATTATTTTGCGGATTGACTATATGATTACTTGTTCCCACATTTTATATCACTATATTTTTGTTTTTCACTAGAAGACAATCGTGAGGGAAAATGATGGTGTGAGAAATGGGATTTGCCCAAGAAACCTGAAGCTAAGATTGTGGTATAACCTGAGATGCTCTCTCATGGAGCCCCCTATATAAAGACAGCACTTATACTGATTCTCAGCAAGTTCCTACTTTTGACATTAGCCAATCGTAGTGGTACTGCTGTTATCCTGCCCTGCACTGAGGACTCTACCCCAACCCCTCTCATGCATGCATCACCCGAATAAGTAGACTCCTAGCAATTTGTGGAGATGCTGCTTAACTGCCATGAGTCCACATTTAGTATAATCTTGAAGCGCTAGCCCAAACACTCCAAGTTAGCACTCTCATGGGTTCAGTGCCGGCTCAAGTTTCCACCATGAGGGAGCAGGGCCACCTATATGTTGAGGACACTGGTCAGGCAGAGAGGTCCCAGTGGATATTAAATTCACCTAGCCCACCACCTCTCTGGACTAAGCTGTTCGATCTCAAGGAGGCCATACTTCGTGGAAACAACTTTTCTCCATCCAAGAAGAAGGTTTTCCACAGACAAGCTGCGTCCTTCTTTCTGAACTTATTCCCAATCCTTAGCTGGTTAAGAGAGTACAAAGCTTCTAAGTTTAAAGATGATCTGCTTGCTGGTTTAACTCTTGCCAGCCTCAGCATACCTCAGGTACTCACAGATTTTGCTTCTCTCTTCTTAAAAGCATTGCAGCGGTTTTCTCTCCCCACCTTAATTTTCTATTTGAATTCTGCAGAGCATAGGATATGCTTCTTTGGCAAGACTTGATCCTCAATATGGCCTGTGTAAGAGACCTTTTCCAGCTTCAACACTTTCGGCTATGAATTTTTCTCTTTCAAATGCCAATACTGGTTTTGTTGTTTTCAGATACAAGTGTGGTTCCTCCTCTTATCTATGCTGTAATGGGGAGTTCAAGAGAAATAGCAATTGGACCCGTGGCCGTAGTATCATTGCTGCTATCTTCCCTGCTCTCGCAAGTGGAAGATCCCGTTGCTAACCCCATTGCCTATAGAAACCTTGCCTTCACGGTGACATTCTTTGCCGGAATCTTTCAAGCAACATTTGGAATTTTTAGGTGCGTTATTTATCTTCATCTTAAATTCTTCTGTAAATCTGTAGTTTTTCTTGCATTCGGAGCACTGACTAGTCTCCAACATTTTCAGGCTGGGTTTTCTGGTGGATTTTCTTTCCCATGCCGCGTTGGTTGGATTCATGGCAGGTGCAGCAATCATGATTGGTCTTCAGCAGCTCAAGGGGCTGCTGGGAATTACACACTTCACCAACAAAACTGATGCAGTATCTGTTTTGGAGTCTGTCTACAAGTCACTTCATGAACAGATAACTTCAAATTCTGCAGATAAAGTGAGTTTTATTATAAGAAAAATTGGAAATTATTAGTTTGTATCTTGATAGCATTTTCCAGATGTCTTTCATGCTCATACATAGATCTTGTTACTTATTTGACATTATTTTTTTTTCCCTTCAATATATTTCGTCAACAGTGGTACCCGTTGAATTTTGTCGTGGGATGCTCGTTCCTGATTTTCCTCCTCCTTAGCCGGGTTATTGTAAGTAATAAAATTTATGACATCCAAACTCCACAACTAGAACACATCAGTTTAGTGGTTAATTTGCTCCATTGATAATTCATATCTCTCTTTCAGGGAAGAAGAAACAAAAAGCTGTTCTGGTTGCCTGCTATCGCACCTCTCCTATCGGTTATTCTGTCAACTTTAATTGTATATTTGACAAGAGCCGATAAGCACGGAGTTAATATAATAAAGCGCGTCAAAGGAGGCCTGAATCCTAGTTCAGCTCACCTTTTACAATTCCATGGCCAACATGTTGGACAGACAGCAAAAATCGGCCTGATTTCTGCCATCATCGCTCTCACTGTGTGTTAATTCGTTTCCTGTATCTTGTCCAGATTCTGAATCCTCACTTTTTTGTGCGTTCTCTCTTCCTTATGGTGGTCTGTACATTGGATTCAGGAATCTATAGCTGTTGGCCGGTCTTTCGCTGCCATTAGAGGCTACAATCTTGACGGAAACAAAGAAATGTTAGCAATGGGGTTCACGAACATTGCAGGCTCTTTAACTTCATGCTATGTGGCAACTGGTGACTGACTTATTCTGCTGTTGAGTTTTTGCAGAAAAAGTGCTTTAGTGGCTGTTGAAGGAATATAAAAATTTTAACAGTTTCTGGGTGAACGCGATTTGCAGGATCTTTCTCAAGGACTGCGGTAAATTTCAGCGCAGGATGTCAAACGGCCATATCAAACATTGTGATGGCGGTGACGGTGTTTTTGTCACTACAATTACTCACAAGGCTCTTATACTACACCCCAGTGGCTATACTTGCTTCCATCATTATTTCGGCACTTCCCGGACTTATTGACATAAACGAGGCTTATCACATCTGGAAGGTCGACAAATTCGACTTTCTTGCCTGCATTGTGCTTTTTCTTGGCGTCTTGTTTAAATCCGTAGAGATTGGGCTCCTCGTTGCCGTAAGTTCTTCGCCATTTAATTTTCATCGGTTTCACATTTAATATTGGCCGAAATGGAGTGAAAGTAGAGGACATTTGTTTCGACGCAGGTAATAATCTCGTTTGCGAAGATACTGATTCAATCAATTCGGCCCGGAATAGAAGTTCTGGGGAGAGTTCCAAGAACAGAAGCATTTTGTGATGTCAGTCAGTATCCCATGGCCATAAGTACTCCTGGCGTCTCGGTTATTCGCATAAGCTCTGGCTCCCTTTGCTTCGCAAACGCTAACTTCGTCAGAGAAAGGTAAACGCGATATTCATTTTAAAGAGACATCCGTGCATACAGCGCAAATCGGAATTAGTTCTTTCGTCGAACAAATCTGTACGAATTTGGTCCCTTGTTGCAGAATACTGGAACGGGTCGCAAGAGAAGATCAGACCGCACAATCAAGGGTGCAAGCGGTGGTCCTGGACATGACCAGTGAGCCTCCTCTTTTCCCTTCTGATTAATGTTAATTATGATTAGTATAATGGAATGAAGATAAGATACTGATCCTCTGGAATTGTGTTGATAATAGACCTGATGGATGTTGATACTTCTGGAATTATTGCACTGGAGGAACTGCACAAAAGGCTGCAATCCGGCGGCATAGAAGTGAGACCGCCATGAATTTATTTGCGTGCTGTTGCTGGTTACATAGTGATAATAATTAGTCTGCAACAAGCGATAAGAGATGTGTTTTTGTGTGTTGCAGCTAGCTATGGTGAACCCAAGGTGGCAAGTGATTCACAAGCTTAAAGTGACGCAATTTGTGGATAAGATCGGAAAAGAAAGGTTTTTTCTTACGGCTGCAGAAGCTGTTGACGCGTCTTTGGCTACTAAATTTGTGGCTCCTTGAACACGCGCGTCCCCCATCCCCACTCTGATATGTATGGTTATTTTAAGGTTCTAGCAGCCTCTGGCTAGATCCAAAATAAATTTGGGCATTCAATATAAAATTAATGCCTGAATTCAATTAGCCTTTCGAGTAAATATAGTTTCGAATCTTGATTTTATTTCGGCTTCAAAGAATTTAAATCTTTACACCCGAAAAGTAAAGAATTTAAACCGCATTTATCTTTACCTGTGCTTCGCATCATTAGTACGCATACACTTTAATAATTTACACGGGACGTATCTAAATCTAAAATATTCCTAAAAAGTTATCAAATGAACATGGGCCACAAGGCCCAAACAAAATTTCGATGTGGCCCAAACTCTAGGCCTATTTTTAAAGAGAGAGAATCAATTCAATGACGTAACTTCGATGAACACGACAAGCGCGGATGATTAGCGCGCATTGCGAAATGAATCTTGAACTATTCATGCTGCTAAACGTTCAAAACGAGGTGCCTGGTGAGGTTGGATGGGGGAGGGGGAATAGTGAATTTGTAAATGCACTGTGTAATAATCAATTCAGATTTTCTATTTTGTTCGAGACAAGAACAACTTGTTTTGAATAAATATTAGGCAAGTAAATCATGTGAACGATTAATTTTTATTGGAAAAAAAACTCATAATCGTTATGTGCAGCAACAAAGCCAAATATGAGACGGACAAATTTAATTTAAATAACATTCACATTTTTCATCCCAAACCGAAAAATAATTTTAAAAATAATAGTGATGAGAGTAAAACAAAATATGGTAGTTTTTTGGTTCCCTGCGATGATTTGCTTTTGCGCCTTTTTTTTTCCACATAAACTTTTTTAGACTGCTATGAATTTACCCAGCAGACGCCGGAGACCGGAGGGTGGTGTGTATGTGTGTGTTTTGATTAAGGGAACAAGAAAATATTTGCGAACTATAGAATATGCAGATGAAGCGCAAATGCAGAGCAGCTAGATAATGACATGACTTGTTCGGGTAAAGCATAACGAACTGTACAACAGAGCATCCAAATGTACTTATAAAAACTGAGTTTCTACTCAGAATTCCCATTATTAGCTTTCTAGAATAAGGAAAATGTAAAGACCTGATCATAACCCTATTGTTGGAAAATGAACGCAGCACGAAGAAAAAGAACATAATCAACATGACAACTTGCTTCTGACTCCTGTGAATCCAGCCACACTCCCACTTCTTTCTATCCGCGATTTCCCCTCACTGAGAATGGACCACAGCAAAATTGTTATCAGCAGCCAAATTCTAAACCAAATATGAAGAAAATATATTCATTTTCATATATCAGTCACAGGAAGAAGCTACAAACTGTAACTGTTGAGTACCTGCGGTTCTGTATAACCTGATATGGGGGTCCGTGGGAACGATCGGATCCTGAAAATGCATGTCATGGGCAGTATTGTCAGAGTCCCTGAAAATCCATAACCACAAACGCTTTCATTTAATGTGGAGTATCCGGTTAAGGAGTTAATTGCACAAGTTATGGTGAATCGTTCAAGAAAAATGCAGCTATCAGCTGATTCTTTTTTCCTTTTTTTTTTTTTGGTTTATATCTCGACAAAATTAAACAACCTTTGCTCAGAGAATTCTAAGGCCTTGGGGTCCTCGGACACATTCACTTCATATCCACGAGGGTTTTGTGCTTCATATGGAATAGGGCGTGCATCTTCTTCTTCTTTCTCGGCTGAATTAATCTGCAACCACCCAAACAAACCCAATCCAATCAGGAAGTCTCATTAAAGGTTCAAACACGAATCTCCAACCAGGACATAACCATATTTAGGATACCTTTCGACGTTTAGATGCAGATGATTCTCCTTTTTCACGTCGACAAGCAAAGCCACGACCAGAGCGTGCCGCTGCTTTTTTCTACAAGCCACCACCACAATTTCATAAATTAATCGTAGAAACAAAGTTCATATTTCACTACAAAGCTTCCTTTAGTCCTTTTTTTTTTTAATTTTTGGGGCTCTCAAGTGAAGTTGAAGTTCACCTTGGTGGGCTGTGGTTGTGGTTGATTCCAGGCCCTGTTCAGTTCCCTCTCCAGCTCTTTCATCCATTTGTCCTGCCAGCAACAGTGTTGTTGATGAATCGTACATCATTTCATTCTAAAAGCTTGGAGTTGGTTAATAATAATAATAAAGTGATGGAAATTCTTGATTACTACTGGATCATGGAACTCAGGAACTCGAATCTGGTGGGCATTCATATGGAAGCAGATTTCTTTGAAGTTCCAACTTTTTGACCCGAAGGCGAAGCAGCCTTTGGTCTGGGGCCTTTAGGAGTGGAGCCCATGTCCAGTATTCTCCGAAGCCGATTGCTAATTTGTGGCCTGTTCAATATTTCAACCAAATAAATACGAGAATGAAGTATGTGAAATGCTTAAAAGATCATAAGTGGTTTCATTTCAAGTATCTTACCTAGCCGATGACGAAGGAGTCGCAAAATTTTCACTGTTTGGATTTGCAGTTAATATATCTGTAGAAGTAGGGGCCACGTTCTGCTGCTGATTACCTGAGCTGTTTGGAAGCCTAAATCGAGGATGAATTCAATGATTATTGGTCGCGTTAAATTAATCACAGCCCATATATTCCAAAAGAAAAGGCACATACCATGCAAGCCTAGAGAGCTCAGGAGTTTTAAAGCCAGGAAGTGATGATGGATTAGACGGGTCGGGTGCGGTATTGATGATAGGCTGGGAAGCTTCAACCTCCACTGGACTTAGTATATTTGAAACTGAGATCTTAGGCAGAATCGGAGGTCCATCAAATGGGGAGCTCTCCTGTTCATTGGGTCTGTTCCATGGTTGGTTGTGTTCTTTACTGTTATCTGACACTGGCGGTGACCTACATTCGAAATAAAATGAATGATAGTGTCAGAGCCGAGAGAGAAAAAAGATAGATTGAAAAGGAAAGAGCTGGCTTGTTTATTACTTCTTATTTGAGGTATTTATACAAATGAATACGCGTACTGCATTAACAGAACAAGTTAGCTTTGGTCCAATCATCTGAAATAAAAACTACCCTTTCTTTTCTTTATCCCTTTTAAATCATAAAACGCAGAAAAATTATCGTATATAAATGATAAGTGTGCATGAGAGCACTTCCTTCACAGATTAAAGAGAGTACTTACCCAGAAAGTGGTGTTAAGCCAAGAGCTTGCTGTACAAAACCACGAGACATCCTGTGTTGGGAACGGAGATAACTCCTTTGATAATCACGAATATCGGGATACCTGTTGTGCAAAAAATATTTAACATGAGGTGTGTTCATGTTCAACCAAGGGATGTATATTCAAGTGGCAAATATGAAGTGAGAGACTTGGTATATACCTTTGAGGCACAGAAGGTCCAGCTCCCAAGGAAGTGAGGGTCATCGCAGATGACCCAAGTCGTGAATGATGATCAGGGGACAATATTGTTGTCCTTCGTCCCAAAAAAAAAAAAAGCAAAAAGAAAATAATCAATAAGTAAATTGGACAGATGGCTTAGATGGTCAACTGACAGTCAACTTTGTGTCCATAAGATCAAAAATATTAAATTACCTGGTAGAAACAGCAGGCTCAGGCAGCGCGAGTCTCTGAAAAGGCTGATGATCACGGTTTTCCGGAGGCACAGGAGCAGCAGCAGACTGATAAGTTGAGGAAGGCCCCGGCCTTGAATAACAAAATATAGGCGTTTAATTAGTGTCTAGCTGATGCAACAAGCTAAAGCTGTTAATTCTGTTAATGTGATTGATATTTGTCCTGTTGGACATATAGCACAGGTACCTCGAATACGTTGGGCAGGGAGGCTGCATGGAGTTCTGCAGATCAGAAATATGTTGCGTTGTGGGGACGTGGCTACCTCGTGCCATCAGAGGACTGAACAGTTGGGGCCTAAGTCATAAAATGTCAATGAATCAATTACCTTTTGAAATATATTAACTTGCGAATCGAGTGAGGGCTAGTAAATGCTAACATAATACAATATGCATACCTATAAACAGCAGGCGCTTCAAAGGCAAGGGAGCTGCGGGCCCATCGCAAATCATGGGCATTGCGCGGAGGGCTTCTAAGGTATCGAGACCTATTGTGGAGAAAATATTTTATGACAGTTACGCAAACTAGAGAATGAGATGAGAAAACAAGCTTGGTACAGTGTTGAGTTGGACCTGGTTGGAGGCAGTTTGTTAGACAGCAGCTGTCCTTGGCTTAATGTTCCAGTGCCTGTAATTCCTAGCCCTCTCTCTGTCTGCTTCATGTTTGAAAATATGAGTATCGTCAGCATGATAATTAACAAAGATATGCATGTTTGGATAATATAGTACTACTTACTGGGTTTCTCAGGATTGTGGATGGTTGAGAGGGATGCTTCTGCTGATGGATTCCACGCGAAGCATTGTGTGCAGCCATGTTTGTCCCCAGCATGGTCTGTTTGTTTGCGTCGCGCTCCTTACTAATTAGATCCATGCCTTGAGACCTACAACGTAAAGAAATCATGCGTGCTCAACAACAGCAACAACAGCAAAAGGCCGAGAATCTTGATGTGTATAAGTTGATAAAATGATCGAAGGAGCTGCCCACATACATATGCATATTCTCATGCTGAGAAAAGAGTGAATCGACGTGATTCGGTGGGGCCCTAAGTGCCGCAGATATTCCTCTTGAGAACCATTCCTCCTGATAATAATTATGTGATCAAACAAAATTGCAGATAAGGTCAGTAATGATAATTATAGGTATTATGATGATGACACTCATGCTTCATAAACAACAAAAGAATCATGATACTGTATATGCTATATATTCAACCCAAGCGAGATACGCTAAAAAGGAATCATGTATCACCGTACCAAACCCTCAGCATCATTTGATTTAGGCGATCATTTACTTTTATTAGTGAGACTATTTGTAAAATACAAGCTCCATCTTTAATGTAAGAGCTAGTTTAACTTTCAAATCAATCCTCAATATAAGATTTCAAGTCACTTGCTCTCTCCTATTTATCTATTTTTTTTAAAGTAGTCATTGTAATAGTTACGTATATTAAATGTTTTATCAAATAACATTTGATTAGTAAAGGTATTCTAGAAAAGACAACACCTATTTATTACAGATAGTTAACTTAACTAATTTTCTTAATGTACT